TGTCCTCGAAGCTTTAGTGCGATTACGTTATCTGGTTCAAATTCCATCGATTTACTTAAATCGATAAGTGATTCATTGTAACTGTTTAATTCATAATATATCTGCCCTCGATTTCTTAGTGCAAATGGATGGTCTGGTTCTATTCTTAAAGATTCATTTAAATCTTTAAGTGATTTGCTATATTTTTTCAAACTATAATAGTTCTTTCCTCTAGCTCTTAAAGTTTCTGCATCATTTGGATTAATTTCTATCGCTTTATTTAAGTCTTCAAGGGAACTCACATATTTTCCAATCATATGGTTTGCTTGTCCTCGAGTTCTTAATGTATCAGCATTGTCTGAATCAAATTTCAATGATTCTGTTAAATATTCAATAGATTGATTATATTTTGCCAACTTATAACAGGATTTTCCTAGAAATCTTAATGAAATTGCATTGTTAGGTTCAATGATTAATGATTTAATTAAATTTTTAACCGATTCATCATATTTTTTTAATGCAAAACATGATTGACCGAGAAATCTTAGCACAACCGAATTATCTGCATCAATTTCTAATGATTTAGTTAAATCTTTATAAGAATCTTCGTAGTTCTCTAGCATATAATATGCTTGTCCACGAAATCTAAGCGCAACTGCATTATCTGGATCAATTTCTAGAGACATTGTTAAATCTGTAAGAGATTCTGTATATTTTTTTTGTGTAAAATATAGTTTTCCTCGAGATCTTAGTGCAATTGCATTGTTTGGTTCAAGATCTAATGATTTATTAAAATCCTCAAGCGACTTTTGGTAATTTTTTAGTTTGAAATAAGTTTCTCCCCGAAACCTCAACGCATCAGCATCATCTTTATTAATCTCTAATGACTTGGTTAAGTATTCAAGAGATTCTTGATAGTTTCTTGAAACATAATAAATTTGTCCTTGAGACTTTAATTCGTCCGCATTGTCGAGCTTTTGCCGAAAGAAATAGTCTTTAAATACTTTAGTCAAAGAATCTTTCGGACTGGGGTGAGGAGATGGCGCACTTGATGTTTTTGGTAGAGAGTCCTCAGAGGCTTTCGGACTAGGAAGAGATGGCATTCTGAACCATGTCGTTCTTAAAAATATTTTAGATAAGTCATCACTATGCATATTTTTGTAAAATTGAGATCGTTCTTTTATTGTTTTATCTAATTCAGGTATAAGTTCTCTATTGCGGTTTGTAATAAATTGAGATGATTCTTTTTTTAATATTGCATTGAGTTTTTCAAGAATTTTGTTTATTGTAGGACGTTCTTTTGGCTCAATATTCCAGCATTTCTTATAAAGTTTAGCGTACTCGATTGGCGTACCGAGAATTGTTTTTTCTCGATAACCGTTCAATGCTTGAATAATTATGGCTAAACCACCGTTAGAATTTGCGAATGGAGGAATCCCACTTGTAAGTTCCCAAAATATTACTCCTAAGCTGTAGATATCAGATTTTTCATCAGGTTTCTTGTCGGGATGGCAATGACAATGTGGATCAAGGTATGCTGGCATGCCCTTCGTAATAGAAGCTGAAGAACTGTAAGTATCGTCTTTTTTCCTTGATAACCCAAAATCCGCAATTAAAAAATTACCATCATTTATTAAAATATTTTTAGGATGCTTAATAATTATTAAACTAACAGATTAGTTTATGGTTTCAAAAATAAATAAATTAAACAATTAATAAATTGATATTTACCAAATCACAATGGATTATATTATGTTTGTGCAAATGTCCCAATCCATTTGTAATTTGTTTTGAAATACGGATAATTTCGCTTATTGAAATTCCGAAAATACCATTGCACCACTTTTTTTCTAAATATTGCCGCAGGTTCCCGCCGTTGGCAAATTGTAGTACCAGCATGAATGTATTATCAGGATCTAATTATACCAAGAGATTAATTTTAGCTAGTTTTTTTTTTTCTTTAAAAAAGAAAATATTTATTTAGGCATAATAATATATATTTTTATATTACCACGTGTAATTCCGTAAAATTGATTGATATTAGGAGGAATATTAATAGCATGTAATTGTTTAAGCTATAAACATATATGAATATTTGAACTATTAGATTTGGGTAAAAGACCAAATAATGAAGACAACGAATAACGTACCTCTTTAATAAATTCTCCATTATTCATATCATTATTTTTAAAGCTTTTCAATGCGACCTTTTTTTTCTCAACATGATCTGCCGAATAAACAGTACCGAATCCACCTTATACATTTTAATAATACAAAATATCAGTTTATTAATTAAGTGTGGCAAATAAA